GAACCGCGGTCCCTGATGCCTTGCCAAGCTTGTTCCAAGTAGGTGCTTTAGACCACTGAGCCATCTCTCCAGCCCCAGCCCTTTATTTTTTTATTTTTATTTATTTATTTTTTTGTGGAACCAGGGATTGAACTCAAGCCCTTGCGCTTGCCAGGGAAGCGCTTATTCTACTGAGCCATCTCCCCAGCACCTATTTTTATTTTTTTAATAACATACTTTCAAAAGTCATTCTGGGGCAGTGTGTGGTGGGGCAGGCTATAATCCCAGCACTCGGGAGGCTGAGGCATGGGGATTGCTATGAGTTTGAGGCCAGCCTGGGCTCCATAATGAGTTCAAGGCCAGCCTGAAATATACAGCAAGTCTCTGTCTTGAAAAGTCATTCTGTGACTGGGGATGCAGCCTCCCAAGTCCATGGTAATGGTCCTTGTGTGTTCTGATTCTGGTAGTGCTTCTAGTATTCTCCTTATTTCCCTTGGTGTTGGACTGGATCCAGGGCCTCGAGCACACTAAGCAGGGCTCTACCACTGCAGTGCACATCCCTGTAGGCTCTCTAATCAATATTCCTATTTGTGGGCCAGGGAGATGGCTCGGTGGAATAAGTGCTTCCCTGGCAAGCACAAGGGCTCAAGTTCAATCCCCAGTTCCGCCAAAAAAAATAAAAATTCCTATTTGTAAGCTATTAAAATAGAAGAGAACACAAGAATGGTAGGTCAAGGATGCTAAAAAAAAATGCACACTGTAATACCAAATTAGGCTTACGAAATTTGATATGCAAGACTTAAAAACAGGCTAAAATATCAATTACTGGTTTTCTCCAGAGAGCACTATTATCAGTGATTGCTTTATGTATTTCTCTATGTATTTCAATGGTATATTATGAACATTTGCTACTTCTGTAATCAGAAAATAATTCTAGTTATTCTAAAGAAAAAGAAGAGAAAAAGCAGAAAGTCTTTTTCACCATGTGGGGTTTGGCCTCGAGGTCCTTGAAGTCGGCCTCTTTCACTCCAGACATGGTTTGGTAGTAGTCCAGGTTCTGCCGCATCTCCATGTGCTCCGGATTGCCCACAAAGAAGGTGTGTGCTGCAGCTACAGCTTTCTCCAGCTTGTTTATCTAGAAGTGAAGCACAGAGTATCACGCTCACACCCAAGTTTATTATTTTTTATTTTTATTTTTTTGTGGAACCAGGGATTGAACTCAGATCCTTGCATTAGCCAAGCAAGCGCTTATTCTACTGAGCCATCTGTCCAGGCCCATACCCAAGTTTAGAAGGCTTGTGCCCATACACACAGTCCATGGAAAACAGGCAGTCTTGGCCTCCCCAACCCTTTCTGAGCCCATAGGCAGTTTGCCGAGGCTTTGCCAGCCCCAGCAAACCCAACTACTGCAGCAATCACAAGCCAGGCCATTAGGAGCACAGTGGCCTGGAGACATCGGCAGCTATTTCCCCAATGAGCCTGAGGGCCTCCCCAGTTATAGAAGGTAATGCCAGTGGTGCAAAGCTCTAGCTTAAAACAAAGGGCATATTGTAGGGAGAGCTATGAAGACTGGCTGCCCAGGTAAGAGTCCTAACTTTAACATTTCAAGGATTCAGGAGTAGGGAAGGGGGCCAGGGAGATGGCTCAGAATAAGTGCTTGCCTAGCAAGTGCAGGGTCTTGAGTTCAATACCAAAAAGAATTGTCCAATTGTAAAATGAGAAATTCTCTCATCTGTTCTTTTATGGATTTGCTCTCAAGCAATACATATTTGGACTGTATCATCTCTTTGGTCAGGCCCAATATCTCAGAGATAAAGCTAGCTTCTGCCTCCTTTTTTTTTTTTTTTTTCCCCCCAGAGCCAGGGATTGAACTCAGGTCCCTGCGCTTGCCAGGGAAGCGGTTATTCCACTGAGCCATCTCCCTGGCCTGCTGCCTCCTTTGTGTTTCTAGCTTTACCTACATGTCCCTTTACTAGCCTTCACTACCATGATGCTTAGCAGCAAAGACAAGCAAGAAAAGCATTTAATCATCTGTTTAAAAACTGGAATGTAGTAGGTATTCAGTGTTTGTCAAAGGATTTTAAGTGGTGCTGTTAAGCAACCAAAACCATAGCCCAATTATTTTGTCCTCAAAAGGCCTGTGCTCTTCCAAGTCATTGGGAGAAATAGAAGGTAACTGCATAAGCAGAATGCTGTTGCGTAGGTGGAAATCTGGGATTACTCAAGATACTAAATGTCTCTCTTTTGGTAGAACTTAAGATCTGTTAAACTATAGACATAATAGTTATCCAGCACGGCTCCCTCCGACAAAATACCAGGAAGCTCTGGGCAAATGAGTTAATAAATGCAAGCTGCTTAAAAGTGCGATGGAGGGGGCCTGCCTCGTAGCTTCGTAGGTTCGTTCTTTAAGTGGCTGCTTCAACAAAGCAGTCAGGCTCAGGTTGCTGTGGTTCGATCCCCACAACTT